CAATCCCTGTTCCAGGGCGTGAGCCGTGCTGGCACCCCTCATGGTTCAGTCTCCGTGTGCTGGTGCTCCCCGCTTCCCTGCACACTCCGCTCTTGTGTGTGACTCTCCTGTCCTACCCTTGTTCTCCACGGTTCAAGTCTGAAACTGGAGGCCAGACACTGACAGAGCTGCCTTTAGAACCAGGGCCCTGGGGAAGGTTTTGGGACTGAAGACAGTCCATCAAAACTGAAGCCTGCCTCTCTGCCTCGCAGAGTGCCCTGAGTTGACTCGATGGCCTTCTCTAGCCTGAAGGAGGGAGGTCGGCCTCGTCTTTGTCCCACAGGCAATGGTGGGGCTGGAGGCCGCTCCTCCCCTTCCTTAGCCATTCACCCTGGCCATCTACTTGGCCTGCTCTGGGAAGGACAGCCCAGGCTTTGTTTCAGTCACGCTCTTCTTCCTGACTCCAGCTTCCCTGTCAAGGTGGATGGCAGACGGGTGATGGGGAGAGGACCAGCTGACCAACCTGGGGCCCTGGCTGGGAGCTCTTTCAAGTATTACCCTGTTCCCAACGGAAGGAAGACAGAGCAGAATGTGGACAAAACAGTCACGTGTTATACAAATGTGCATATAACACACACAGGTACACTAACAGGGGACTTCAGGGGAGGAGCTGAAAGGTAATTTAAATTTTCATACTTCTCTTTACTGGTCAAATTTGGCTACATATTTCATTCATAATCATAAAAAAATAGATAAATGTCCTCTATTTAAATATAAGTGCTCCTAGAGGAAGTCAGGCCAATAATTAGGTGAGAAAGTAGAATAGTGATTTCAAGACCGCAGTTTGCTGACTGACTCACTGCAGAATCAACTCAGAGAAGGTTGGGGGCAAGTGCTGGGGCAGTGTGGTCCACCGGGCCAGCCGTCTGAGGCTGGGGACACGTGGGGCTCGGGAGTCTGGGCGGTGGTGGGACAGCCTGGAGACGGCTGCGGAGAGACGGTCTCTGGGAGGCTCTGCCTGGCCTGGTGCTAACAGTGGGAGACACTTCTCAGTCTTAGAGGACATGGCTCTGATCCAGGTGACTCTGACTTGGCTGGAAAGACAATTTACACATAGGACACATTTGGGAAAAATTACAAAAGCTCATAACAAGCAGTGCAAAGTATGATGTTTTAACTAAACACACAGTTCAAACCGAATGCAAATAGCATTGCTTTTGCAAGATTCCCAGTTCTGGGAACACCAAGAGGGCAGATCTCTTACTCTGGACTTCCTTTTACGGTATTTTCAAAGCTTGCACACGATTTAGTGTGATCCATTAGCTGAGAAAACATTTTTCAAGACAAAGGTCATACTCTTGATCTTCAAAGTTCAGAAGAAACGTGGTAGATATTGAGACCCATTTGAGGGGAATAATGAGCAACGAGAGAAGACAAAAATGTGTCTTCTTTCCCTGCCCTCCGCAATTCTTGAGTTTGTAGGACCTGTCATGAGTTAAATTTAAATCCCTTTAGGACATGGGCAGCCTCACAGGAAAAAGACCTGCCATTCAGGGAAAAAGTGACATGCGGTTTTTGTTAACCTATTATGCGTCTCCTCGGATACTTAAAGGTCAAAACCCGGGGCAGCAGTGGGATTGAGCTCTCCCCTGCCCTGCAGAAGCCACACCAAGTCAGCACAGAGTGGAAGCCACATCCAGGACCGGGCAGCCGAGAATGAGAGGCGCCCCTGCCAGGCCAGTGCCCAGCGGCCTCATCCAGCACATGTATTGGGAAATATCCCTCTGCTGGAGGGATGTGTCACGGAGTTTTCTCGGGAATGACAGGGAAGGTGGGACCATTCCCTCCTTGTACGCTCACGGCGCAGCCTGCAGGGAATCCAAGCGCTGTCCGCAGGGAAATGGCTCATCTGCCCGGAGGCTAAGCCAGGGGAGCCTGAAACCCCTGGCGGCTCCTTCGGAGCCCCTGTGGTCTCTCGTCATTGGGCTCCCAGCTTCAGCTCCTCCTTCAGAAAGGTGCAGAAACTGCACGAAGGCATCTTGAACTTGACAACCAAGCTACGCAAACACCCAGCACACAAATGAGGTTGGCCTCGCGCTGAATTTGTTCACACATTGGCCTCAGAAACAGGTAAGTGCTTTTGTTGTAAGTGTTGGAAACACGTTATGGACCCCAGCAGTCATGCGTGGGCACCGGAGGCCGGGCAGTGGCAGGCGCGAGAGACGCCACCGAGCCCGTGGTGCGTAGGTGACTCCCGCGGCCTAGTCCTTCTGGATGTCTGCGCCGTTTCATCGCTCTTAACACCACCAAGATATTTCCCATGTTTATTTGGTTCCTGAAAACTTTTGATGTTTTGTGTGTTTAGACTTTAAAAATTGCTTAATACTACTTCATATTTAGTTTGAATAAATGACCCAGGGAGGAAGTTCTTGATCAGACAAAACACGTTAACACACAACATTTTCACACATGGTTTCCACACCCTTTCTGAAAACTGGATACATGATTTACCAATATGAAGGGGCAAGTTTTTATGCTTTTTTTTCCTTTTGGATTTGAATCTACTTAAGATGATGTGATTTCTAAGATGAAAATGAGACTCAGATCCTTTTGTTAACACCGCTCCTGGAGGAGGGGCCCCGAAAGTCTAGACTGACTTCTTAGATGTGGAACAGTCCTGACACAACAGTGGTGATGAGCCAAGCTCAGAGGCCTCAGAAACACATGGACTGCATTTTGTGTGCAAGCGGGGGGCTCCCTCAGGGGAGAGGCTCCCAGGGTCGGAGCACACCATGGTCAGGGCCGGGCTGAGAGATGCCGCAAGATGCGGTGGCTGGGCTCCCTGTGCACAGGCAGAGGGGCCTCTCTGGAAATGTGTTTCTAACACACATGGAAGTTGTGATTTTAAGAATAGAACGTTAGCACATCTGAAAAAAAGAAAAGTTTGGGAGGATTTAGAGCCGAAGATACAAGAGGTCAGGAACAAATCCAAACTGCTAAGGACGATGGTGGAGGCGCATCCCTCCTTGGCCGCCACAGGTGGGGGAGGCTGTACCCGCGTGTTTCTTGATGAGAGAGGGTTCAAATTCATGCTATTTCATCCATCTGTGAGCTCCTGAACCAGCCCAGAACTCCTCACTGGTGCAGGTCATTGGGTCGTGGACTTGGGTCCGAGGAATGCCTGCCTTGAGCTCTGAGGACGAGTAGCTGCTCGGCGCTCAGTGGGACAGAGTACTGCCTGCAACTTCTTCAAAAGATGGATTAAATACATCAACCACAGGTGGTTTGGGTTTTTTTTTGTTTGTTTGTTTGTTTTTTGCCTTTAGAAATGCTTTTTTTAATAAAATAACTACTTAAGTAGACACATGTCTATCTACAAACACTGTTCCCAGGAGACAAACACTCTGCCTTCTGACCGACCACAGACGCCTGGGGCTGAGCCCATCATGGCTTTATCAGGGTTCGAAGGCCTGGGTGCCCTTAGTGCTGCAGTGGCTGGAAGGCCAATCTTAGTTCTTAAAACACAAAACTCATGGTTTCCTAATGGGAGCCAAAAGAAAGAATAAGAGTCTGGTTCAAACAGAAACTTCGGGGGCCTGAGCGGAAGCAAGCACGTTCCCGGGGCTGAAGCGAGGCACCCCAGGCACGCAGCACCACTTGGCCTGGGCTGTGTGCTCTGAGGCGTGGAGATACGCGGTGAAACAGAAAAGGCTTGCTTCCGAGGCCAGGACAGGCTGCTTCTGGGACTGCTTATCTCGGTTCCAGTAAGACACGTGCCTTATGTTTTCTGCATCTGAGGGTGGTGTGCTGGGCTGAGGAGAAACCAGGCCACACTGGGCCCCGCTCGCTGCAGAACCCATCGTTCTAATGGGGCACTGGCAGCTCTGGTCCGGCTCTCCTTCCTGGCTTGCAGGGGAAGGGCCAGGACAGCTCATCAGGCGCAGGCTGAGGAAAGCACAAGATGCCACGCACAGAAGGCTGTCAGAACGGGTTGGTGGCCACACCTAAACGGGAGGAGGACAGGCCCTTTCAGATGGAGCCAGAGGACCCCACTGACCGTACACGCTTTTTCAACGGGAAAAGGCAGCAGTCAAATTGTGCATAACCAATCTGGACACACAGTGAAATAAACCTTAAAAACGTGACAGATGGTAGTGTTTTAGGGACTCTTAGGCGTTACCGGCGTGTGTGTTGGGGGTGGGGGGAGCTGAGGCTGGTATCTGAGCTGGTACCAGACTGGGTACAGTTGGACAAACTCCTTGCCACATGAGGAGGCTCAGCCTGGAAGGCCCTCAGAAAACTCTTGGCATGCAAGTCGGCCTCTGGTCAGCGGATCCCAGGGTACAGGGCGGCCCCAGCATCTTCTAATGCTCTCACGCAGCCTCAGTGTACTGACTCTGCTCTCCTGACAGCAAACCTCTCACTTCCCAAGTCTGACCCCAGGACCGGTCTCTCTTCCCAGGGTCACCATGTTGGTGGAAGCCCTGGGGCCATTTCAACTTCTAGAATTTCTTTTTCTTTTTTTTTTTTTTTTAACAGTGATAAAATATACTTTTATTTACTTTGTTGAGTCAGAGGGTCGTAAAAAAATTATTGCTAAAGTAGATATCAGGCAAACAAACAGAAAGGTGCTTTAGAAGTCCAGTTACCTTGGAGTTTATTTAAACTAAGAGGAAAAGGTCATAATGTTTTCATGCAATACATACTTGGTTCTTTAAATAACAATTGTGACAAATAACAAAGAATTATGGAATGCTGCACTTGTGATCCATACAAAACACCAACATTTTGGATTGTACATAATTTAAAGAAATGTCTCAAACACTTTTTGAAATACTGTAGCAGCCAATACATAGAGGCATGCCTTAGGTGGGCACGGGAATGCAGTTTAGAAAAGAAAGAGAAATATCACACTGGAACTACCCAATTTCTTCAAAATCACTGAGCAAGAAAAGCAGCATTGAACTTCCATACCGATTTTACACAAATTTTGTACAGTACCTTGACTTAAATCCAAGAGCAAAAGTTAAGACTCTCCTCCTCTATTTTTGGCAAACAACTGCATGGTAAACTTAGATGACTTTTCCCCCTGGATTTTACCTGGGAGTGGCCTTTTTAATTTTTTATTTAAAAGAGGGCAGGTTTGGCACTTTTATACTGATGTCACCAATGTTAATATTTCTTGGGATCTCAGGAAGATTCATACTCTTTACAGCTGATACAGCACGGGCTGGAGCTCCCGCTAAGCCAGCCTCAGATTTCTCCAGTTTATTTTGTGCATCAATTTGAGAAACAATCTCATTCATGTTGGTCTCCAATACCATTCCCCCCATCACCATTTCTGCAAGAATATTGTGAACCTGGTCTACATGGAAAATTAAATCCAGCTCACAGACATTTTCAAAACACTTGTCTAATGTTTCCACAAATACTTGAATTAGATCTAAAATGCCAAGTTCACTTTCTGAAGAATCCACACAGAAGACAAAATATAATGTTGCATAATGTCTATAAATCAGTTTGTTGTCAGATCCTCCAATTAACAATCCTCCTTCTAGGAAATTACAAACATTTTCATCTCTCTTAGATACCAAATGGAATGTCTCCCTGATGATTTGCTGTTGTGTATCTTCACTGTAGAGCTGGTAGAACTTGGAGAGCCACGGCTTCCCGTGGTTGTTGAAGATGAGGATCGCCTTGATCATGGCTGAGCCGGGCCGACCGGGTGGGCGCTGGGGGGCCAGGGCGGGGGCGGGCGCGCGAGCCTCGCCTCGGGATCTCGCCGGCGATCCTACCCCACCCGCCCCCTCCCGCACGTGCGCGCGCGCGCTCCCGAGCCGCGGGGCGGGGATGGGGCGGGCTCAACTTCTAGAATTTCTAGTGAGCATCAGGTTGATCCCCAAATCAAGAAGAGCAAGACTCACATTGCATCCCAGCGCATCATGGTTAAACAACGTGCACCAGGGGTGCGGAGAGAGATGACAAGCTGCTCTGTCTTCTCCTTACACTTGGTGGAGCGTGGTCCCCAGAGTGGGGTGCGCCTTCTCGAACTATTCCAGCTTCTGCACCCCACCTTCTCCATGCACACAACCCTCAAGCTCACAGCAGCCACCTTGGTCACACACGCACATCCCCGGATATGATGGAGGGAGGACAGGTCATGGAGAAGATCTGATCCATCTTTCTTGCACCCAGGAGCTCTTTCTTCTTTCTTCGATACTTTCTCTTTTATCTGTGGAGCGAAGGCATGAGGTGCATCAGATGACTGCTGGCTCAGGTGGATTTCCTGATGACAGAGTGGGTGTTCAGTTTGGAAATCTTCTCCGAGAGGCTGTCCTGATCACCCTTTCAGTACCTGGGGACCAGGTCCTTTGGACGCTTATGTCCTTTAAGGTTAACGTTGATGTCCTTCACTTTTGGGCTGCGCGGGCTGGAGGCTCTTTATCCGGGCGGAATTCTGGGCTGGAGCTCAGCAGCTCCGTCAGCAACAGTGGGTAATGCTTTACTCTTTGCCCTGTTTTGACCACATTTTAATAATTATAATGACTCTTGTTTATATGGCAAAAGCCCAGGGAGTGCTGTTTTCCCATTATACTTTTAATGTAAAACAAGAGGAAGAATATATCCCATAGTCAGAAACAAATAGATTATGTCCTAAAATCTGGCACCCATTGAGTTTCTAAAAGGGAAATGTGGGTAGAAAAAAGCATTTTATGCCGAAAGCTATTTACTTCTGACCTTGTGATTGTATTTATATGTTCATTCTATTCCAAAAAGAATTTAGACCACGTTCCCGATATTACCAGCTGAACTCATCCAGAAAAGGAACTCTATAGTTTGTGGCGTTACGTGATGACAAGCCGTTAATGGGTTCATGGGGCTCTGAGAATGTCTTGCAGGTGTGGTGATATGTGGGCAGCTAGGTTTGGTCAGACAAATATGGGACTCTCTAGAACCTTAAGAGATGGGTCTTCACAGCACCCATGGCTAGAAATGTGCTGGAATCATTGTCAGTTTAGATGGTGAAGGTAGATACCACCGTGAGAACACCGGAAAGTGGTAGCATATTGAGCATCTTGGCTATTTTTCTGATACTTTGTGCATTCTTACTTGGCTACTCACCTGCCTGCTTTGTCAACTTGTTAACATTAGGGTCTCCTTCTCCACCTCTGAGGAGCGCATCACGTACCACTGTCATGAAGGCTTGTGGACAATCATCTTGAGAGCCAGCCTTTATGGGAATAATTTTCAGTTTTCTGGGAGCACACACTCCTGAAAGACTAGATAGTTGGGAAGCTCCCGGTGTCTGGCCAGCAGTGGGTAAGAGGCCCGTGATCTGGGCAAGATTTGCTATGTGTGGGTATGTTCTCCCATGAAACAAAGCCCTAAAACACCTTTCCTCGAAGATGGCAGAACTTGGGCTGACAACCCCAGTGGACGTCCCTTTGCAGAATAGGATCAAGCCCAGACCAGAAAACACCTTTTTATCCAGGATCTTGCTATCTGAAGCGCAGAGGGCCCCAGCGTTGTTAGCAGCTCCTGGGAGTGTTAGATGCAGAGTCTGTGCTCCCTACTACTTACCGGGAATCTGTATTCACGGGCGCATGGAAGTTCAAGAAGCACCAGGCTTCTTCACCCTGCTGACCCATGAAACCCCTCAGAAATGATGGAGTTCAAGGTGCCTGCTGAGCACCAGTGTTTCATCCAGAAAGATGCTCCGTTCCACACCCCCAGGAAGAAGGCAAAACTGAAATTCAATATTCACATTTAGAGAAGACAATTAAGAAAGATTTCATACAATATGTTCATCTAATTTGGTCCTTAAAGTCTCATTATTCTAAACATAGATCACCCTGTTTAGTCATTCCTTTTAAATCCAGGTCTATTGTTAGAACAAGTATGAGAACAAAACAAATACAATGTGACACACCAAAATAGTTCTTAACAAGTTAGTAGGTTAACCATGTACAAATTACATCATACACACTTGACCCTCAGACAACTTTGAACTGTGAAGGTCCATTTATACGTGGATTTTTTGGATAAATACAGTAAAGTACTGTAAAGGTGCTTGTCTTCCTTATGACTTTTTTTTAAAGATTTTATTTATGTATTTGAGAGAGAATGAGAGAGAATGAGCGAGAGAGAGAGAGCACGAGAGGGAAGAGGGTCAGAGGGAGAAGCAGACTCCTGGCTAAGCAGGGAGCCCCATGCGAGGCTCGATCCCCGGACACGGGGACGATGACCTGAGCTGAACGCACTTAACTGACTGAGCCACCCAGGCGCCCTTGCTTATGACTTTCTGGCTAACATTGTCTTTTCTCTCACTTACTTCATTGCAAGGATACGGTATATAATGCACATAACACACAACACGTGTGCTAATTGACTGTTCATGTTATTGCTGACGCTTCTGGTCACCAGCAGGGCCATCAGACGTTAAGTTTTGGGGGAGTCAAAGGTTAAACACAGATTTTTGACTGCATGGGGGTCGGTGGGTGTCCCTAACTCTCATGTTGTCCAAAGGTCAACCGTATTATTATAAATCAAATATAAATTGAACCCTGAAGACATGTTTTATATGATTATCTGTCTATATTTTTAAAGCATTGATATTTGACCTCAGATATCATAATACTAGTTTGTACATTCTCTTCACATTAAATTTGGGATGAGTATCAAAAAAAAATATTTGGCCCAGACAACCATTCCAAATATTGGACGTGATCCAAATCTTCTCTGAATTTCCTAGGCCTGAAAATGTGGAAAATTAGAAATCTTGAGTCTGTTTCATAAGCTTTCTAGTAGTTTCTGTTTCTAGTTAAGATATGAATAACAAGAGGCTAGACCCGTGACATTCGTGGGCTTCCAGTCTGCTCACTGATGGGGCCCAGCCATGCAGGAACAGATGGAAATACAAGCTAACTGGTGCATTTAGAATGTTTGAAGGCAGCTCCTTCCAGACCACTAGGTTTTATTTGCTGGTGGAATACACAAGGCCCACAGGGACGCTGGTGTTTCCAAGTGGAGTGTTACTCCTAGAGTGCCTTCCACTTCTATCCTGGATGTATCAATAGGACTTTGGCCAGCTACAGGCAAGATTTCTGTCTTGGGGCCACCGGTGGGACCAAAACACGCTTCTAGGCATTTCTGATCAAACCATCAGCGTGCTCCTGGCCTGACCCCCACCTGACCACCCCGCTTTGCCTGGGTCAGTCTACACCGTGGCCCCCGGAATGCCTGGATGGCAGAGGTGCTCAGTGTGCCGGTGGGAGGGTAAAGCTGTCCGTCTGTGTGGGGAAGTTTGAGTGAGAAAATCGGCAGAAAGCAGCATGGGGGGCGGCTCACAGAGGCAGTGAGCAGAGACCATTCGATGGTGGACACAAGAGTCATCACACACAAGGTCGACATGAGCGTCAGCCGGGCAGAGCAGGGGAGCACAGACAGAAGGATGTGGGTGACCGTGCGGTGCGGTACCAGACGGATGCGGAGCGGCTGGCCCATGGTGGCTGGAGGAATACTGCACACCCCGTCCTGCTTCATCCCCACCAAGCAGTACTGACTAGCTACCATGTGCGAGCACAGTGCCAAGACAACATTTGGGTGCAGTAATCCAGGTGGGACATGACCCCGGGAAGTACAGATAAAGCAGCGAGGAAAAGAGGGAAACGTGCCACGTCGGGAATCAATTAGCAGCGCAGCAGCCCCACCATCTGTTTCTTCCAGTGCTCTGGCTACATCCTTTTTATGGGACTAGTAGAAGACAGGTAGCTTTCACTAGCTATCATTTAAACATGAAGATTCATGGGGACTTTTTACAGTTTTACTGTGATGGGATTCACATATATAATTACCCCTTTAAGGTGGACGATTTAGAGGTTTCCAGTCCATTCACAGAGTCGTATGACCGTCACCACCACAATCAACTTGAGAGCATTGCCATCACTCCAGAAGGAAGCCCTGTGTAATTTAGCTGTCATCTCTGTCCCCCGCTCCCCCACACCTCCACAGAAATAGGAATCACCTGGACCGGAACCCTCCAGAACAACACTGGGGACAAATGAGGTCACAGGCATGCTCGTCTCACTTCTGGTCCTAGGGGGAAGCACCCAGACTTCCACGATCATGTGTGCTGTTAGCTGTGGTCATTTGGGTGTCCTTTATGAGGCTGAGGATGTGCCCTTCCATCCCCAGGCTTTTAGTGTGTGTGTGTGTGTGTGTGTGTGTGTGTGTGTGTGTTAAATTATGATAGAGTGTTGGATTTTATCAAATGCTTTTTCTGCATCTAACTAAATGATCATGTGGGTTTTGTTTCTTGTTCTATTGGTGTAATATAGTATGTTAATTATTTTTTGGATGTTGGATGAAGTTTGCATTCCTAGAATAGATTCCACCTGGTTGCAGCACATAATTCTTTATATATGTTGCCAGATGCAGTTTCCTAATACCCATGTTGTGATCTATATTCATAAGAGATGTTATTTGTAGTCTTCTTTTGCTGTGATGTCTTTGTCTGGCTTTGATATCAGGGTAATGTTGCCTTAAGGAGTGTTCTTCCTCTAATTTCTTGGGCAAGTTTGTGAAGAAAGGGTATTAATTCTTGTTTAAATGTTTGATAGAATTCAGCAGGGAAGCCATCTGGGCCTGAGCTTTTCTGTGTGGGTAATTCTTAAAATTATTATTACTGATTTAATCTCTTTGCTTGTAATAGGATTATGCAGATTTTCTATTTCTTCTTGGATAAATTTTTTTTAGTTCGTATCTCTATAGTGTTTGGCATTTCATC